AGATATATATATATATATATATATATATATATATATATATATATATATGTGTGTGTGTGTGTGTGTGTGTACATACATATGTATATATACATGTAATATATACATATATATATATATACAAGTAATGTATAAATGAAATAGATTACATTGCTCAAATATATTATAGGAACATAATGTCAAAAATTGTATCAAACATAGTTCATCAACGGAGAACCTTATTATAATTGTATGAAAAAAAAAAGTTGGATTCAAACCCGCAATCTCTCACTTTCTCGGCCCTTACGATATCATTACGGATCTAAGACCACTAGTCTCTCTTCCTTCATACAATTTGGGGGCTTAAAATAATGCAAATATTAATGTATAATTTTTATTTCTGACTTTTTTAGCCAAAAACTGAAAGGGTGAAGATAGGATACGATACGATACTCCATTTTTGTCATTTTTACAACATGGTAAAAATGAAATGAAGGTGGAAGAATAGCCCTTAACTCGCATCGCCCTTGTGCCAAACTGCGTATGTGTGCGCCCTATGGTAGCAGTCTTAGTATACATGTTTACATTTGTCCTCAAATCAGGAGCTGAACTGAGCCATATCATCGGAGTAACCCCGTTTTCGAATGCAATGAGTTCTTTAATGTGCATTTATGTACAGTCTACACTCTGAAAGAGTGGAGAATTTAAACCGCAAATCTCCATGCAATGTTGTCACGTCTTGGTAACACGTTTAAATGCTAAATGTTTTTAGACCCCCTAATGTGGTTAGGTTGCTGATGAGTTTAGAATTAGATTTGGTATTTGACATCATTATGTCAAATATCTTAGCACATTTAATTCTAAACACGTCAAAAGCCTAAGCACATTAAGATATCTAAACACGTTTAGCTTTCAAACGTGTCACCAAAAACGAGACAACATTACGCGGAGCTATGCGTTTAAATCATCCACACTGTTTTTTACAGAGTATGGTGTCGCCATAAAATCTTGCATAGAGTTAAAGCGAAAATGAATCAGCTTTAAAGTTTATTAGCCTTTCCAATAAGAATACGGTACTACTGGAGTAATATTATTAAGTTTGACAAGCGATACAGCACTGGGGCTGACAAGGGATTACCGGCACTTTGATAGACATCCGTAACGGTTTAATTAACCAGCGCAAGTCACCATTAACGAAAGGAGAGCTGTATATTCGTGTTTTTATTGTAGGCTTTTGTTATATGGCATACGTCTACAGTAAATGATGTCCTGCAATAACGAAAATTCGTTACCAAATTACATAAATAAATTACATTTATTGTTATTCTTATTATTATTATCATCATTATTTTCATTATTATTATTATTGTTATTATTATTATTATTATTATTATTATTATTATTATTTATTATTATTATTATTATCATTATTATTATTAGTATTATTATTATTATTATTATTATTATTATTATTATTATTATTATTATTATTATTATTATATTGTTATTAAGAAGCAACAAAATTTCCCTTAGGCAAAATGTTGGTTGCGTCCGTAATTTTCTCACCCGTCGTGTAAAACATTACAAACGATCATAAGTACATGCAATTTATTGACATTATAAATTAACACGTTAATGACAATCATCAACATTACTAGATGGTAAGTAATTATGACTCCGGTAGTGTTATTGGTTAAAACACCATTAATGAGGTACAGCGATAAAACTATTTAAGAATCTTAATACCGTTCTAAAGCTAATTATCTGAATTGAAAACACCATGTTAGCACTTGGGTGTCATTACGCTGAATTATGCAGTGTGTTCAACTTGGTATAGTTTATGAATGCAAAATGACGACCAACAATGTTTTATAAAGTAAAATTTTGCTATTATACCATCACATGAGAATGAAACCTGAATGAGGAGGCTCATTGGAGAATTTCTATCAAGTTGGAAATTATTTTAACTGATCGTAGATATTCAGTATAAAGTGCGGATCTATTTTGTAATGCATTCTATACGCCTTTGTGGTTGGCTAGTATTTAATTTTTTGTACTTTTCCCTCTCGGTTGCAGAACTAACTGATGACCAAGCAGAAACCACGGTAGTGAGTATAATATAGATTTTTTTTTAATCACATTGTTTTGCACCTTTAAACACTATAATTCATTTAAATTAGTAACTTAATTAGGTCATAGAATATATTTATCATCAATAGTGTCTTGTTTACTATATCAATATTTATTTTATTGTTACTTATAATGTGTCAGTGCTTTCCAAAATTTGGTACAACATTAATTAATTTTAACGGGTACAACACCATTTACATGAAATTTGGTTTATAATTCCGACAAAGTAAATAAGCCTGCTTCTGTTATTCAAATGATTATAATATGGACCTACATCAATTTTGCAAATATAACACTGCACATGTTGCACAATTAAAACTAGATAAAAACGATGGATATAATGACAAGTCGTTTGAATAAATTAATTAATTTTAGTTAAAATTTATAAACCCTTGAAAATACAAAAAAAAACAAAAAAAACAAACAAACAAACAAACAAAAACAAAATTGCAATAGATTGGTTGACACAAAGAATGGTAGACCAACACCCACTTATGTGTAAATTTCAAACTCTGAGAGACGGTGGTGTACGTTGCATTCTGAACATTTGCTGTAAATTTGCGTATATCTTGCTTTAGGAATATCTTAAAAGATACGGCTATATTGACAGAGTTAGTAAACGTGGCGGGAACGAGTTTTCGTCCAAAGAGTTGTCAGAGGCATTATCAAAGCTCCAGAAATATGCTGGACTGACTGACGTCACTGGAAATTTAACCCCAGAGACTTTGAAACTAATGAGAACTTCTCGATGCGGAGTCCTGGATCCAATCGATGATTCCACAGGTGAACTGGAACATAGGCGAGCGAAACGATACGAGCTTATAGGATCACGGTGGAGGCACAATGACGTAACCTACAGGTAGGAAATTAAGACTTATGAAAAATATGCTTTTGAAATGAGGGCGTGTCATATTGATCTTTGTTATTTGAAGTGCGTCGATAAAAGGTAAAGATAAAGGTAGGAGAATAACTTATAACTCGCAGCGTCATTGTGCTGAATTCCGTATGGGCGTGGTCCGAAACTACCCAATGGCCGTAAATGTTCACATCATTCCACAACGACAGGGGCTGAAATGAGCCATAACATCGGTGTAAACCCCTACTCTTTTGAAACATGCAATGGGTTTTTTTTTTTTTTTTAATTGCACACGAGCCCCTGCCTTACCGCTCGGCCACTCGACTCGCTACGCATTTCGGCTAAGTTACGTTGTAAGAACGTTATAAGAACGCTGCAGTCGGGTAGTGTGCAGAATGTCCCCGGTTCAAATCCCGGTTGGAGCAACTTAATTTTTTTTTAAATTTATTTATTTAATTTATTTTTAAGCACACATTTTTATATATATATATATATATCCATATATATATATATATATAAATATATAATGTATATATACATTTAT